GCTGAATCGATCGAGGGATATGGCGGCGCCGCGTCCCTCTCGTTAAGACCATCGTTAAGTGCTTGGATTTGTTCGCTTTTGCGAAAAACAATACTGCAAACGACCAGATTGGCAAAATGGGCCGTTTCCCGTCGTTAGCGCTCAATTAGCACGTACAAAGGGGCCGCCGATCGTCGCCGCGCCTCCTCGCTTAATTGCGACCGATCGAACGATCTTCTTGGCCCATCACGCCTCGCCCTCACTCGAGGATCGCCCCTCACCAGCCAGCGTCCGTCGTCCAGTACGGCAACAGCTGTCATTACTCTGCACTTGTTGCCAGTTCGACCGTTAGAAATCAATGAATCGCTCTCAGACGATGTGTGAGTCGTTCGTTGCTCAGCAATCAGATTTCGTCACCTGTACGAACTAACCGTATGAATGCATAAACGAAAACGAGAAATGATCCGACTTGAAGCACGCATGGGCCGGTCAACGAAATCACACTGTCACCTAATCGGCAAGGAAAGAATACACGGCAGAATAAGTGTTCACGATTTCAACGTCTGAACTTGATTCAAAGCAGAAGCGTCAATCAAACGCAATAGGCGAGCAGAATGAGGTTCACTTCAGTGAAAAGGAATCAAGAATGAGAGAGAAGTGGCTATTAGCATCCATTTCAGATAAAGAAATCTGAAACCAACAGTTATAAGACGAATGGAACAGGCAGTCTAAAGTATAACTTCATTTGAGGGTGGGTTATCGACGCCTCACCAGCAGCAACCACGCAAAAACTTAACCACGATATCACGGATTGCACTGAAAATCAACCATCGTGGATTTGCCAAGAAATCGCAGCGTTCGAATCCACTGGCAAGAGTTGAATACCAACAATTTTTAGTAGACCGATTATACTTAATTTTATTAAGTTAGGATTTAACTTTTATTATACATGCCTATCAATCGACAGGTTATTGTTCGACTTGCTCGACCCAAGAGCGGTGCGATTTGCGCCCATGAACTGTAGTGTTAAAATACCATCGAGCCGTGATCTGCTTTAACGTTCCCATGTGCTACTAGCACCAAAGGGACGGTGCGACTACTGCGTTTGAGTCAGGAGAAGTGGCAGGAGCACAGCAGTGCTTGCACGAGTATGGCACATAATTGCTGAGGATTTTAAAACGAGAACGGATGGCCATACTGCAAAAAATCATAAGGAAAAAATATTACCAGATGGCTGTAAACTCACATATCAATGGATGCTACTTGCCCACTCGACCGGCCGAAGACCCCGGACACGGCCAGAACAAGCCGGGGCAAGTGTATCAAAAGGTTCTGCTCCAAACTCAGACTCTGGCACAGGGTGGGGAACACATTGGAAACCCTGCCTGATGCGCCTGCCTCCGCTCCCTGAAAGGAAGCTGTCATCGAATCTGACTGACTCACATATCGAAAAAAAGACAAAATATTGATGAACTGGAACGATCGCATTTTTTTCAAGTGTAGCTGGCTTACTACGTTCTCGCATCTACCAACACGTTGGCCATAATGCTGAAAGCAATATGGAAAATTTACAAAGAAATTTCTAATTTATGAATCATTCGCTGACCATATGCCTTCTAAGTGTCTCATTCATATTTAGGAACCCATCAATATAGCTTGTTACCATGGTACGAGTAACAGTATCTATTTGTGTACAAAATTTACTTCTCAGAAGAAACACAAAACTTATAGTTATTAAGTAGGCAGGATCGAGTTTAAATTATTAGTACCGGTACATTTCAGCCACAACGATCGGAATCAACCTTCATGAGTTTTCTGGTAGAAAAGATCAATGATCCCGGTGAAATAATTTCATTCACATGCGTCTGGCGGAATCAGTGGTGCGATCACAATTTGTTTGGTCATAAATTTGTTCTTGGAGTTAGGTTTGCTCTCCAATGACGATGCCAGCAACAATAGCACAGTTGGAAGAAGTTTCCTCATTCGAACGAGTAGCTGGGCTTCGATCTCTAAGAAACATACAATAGCATGATCTCGTTCAAAGCGCACATATCAGGCAAGTCCCATCGGTTCTATATGACCTGAATCATGGCCACTTGCCGCAACATTGCCGCCATTACTCGCGATTTCAAGTGTTCCCCCATTCAACCGCGGCCTTTTCACTGAGTGACGTAATCTCCTCACCATCCTTGTGGGTGACCCAGTGGCCTAGACCACCCGCGAGGGTACCAGTCGACCAATCGGTGACTATGGAGGACAATTTTCCGCCAGTGAACTCGGTTAAGTGCCCGGACCACCACTGCTTCCCCTTTCTGCCCTCGACGACGACGCCCTTCATGCCCGTCCGCTGTTTGATCATCCTGCTGAACATATGGTCGCTAGGCGAGATTTCCAACATCCTTCTTCCCATGGCCCTCTCAGCGAAAAATAGGTGACGCTCCTCGGATTTCGTGAATGAGCACGTCTCAAACCATGCAACAGAACCAGCAAGTTTGGCAGGGGAACCTTTCCTAATGTTGCCGACGAGGACGTCCTCTATGAAACCGAATACTCGTCAGCCGGACCTCGCTTGTTGTAACATCTCTTCCCCCAGTTCACGTCGCTCACGTAAATCCATTTATCGACATCTTCCATCTTACCACTGTTTAATATAACCTGGATCTTCGGCATGACATCCGATCGCAGTGCCTGTGACTTTGACCGACTGATTCGCAATACGACATCTCACCCTCTATGTCCAATTATTGCCGTGTCTTCTTGCTGCCTGTCGTTTTCCGCAAACAGCACCACGATAGCAGCGAACCGCATATGGCTAAACTGTTCGTCATTGGTGTTAATACCGCCGTTCTTGCTTGTCTTCCAGAACACCATTTCCAAAAATGTGGTCAACAGTTTGGGAAATATGGTGTCTCCTTAATTCCTACAGGCATCTGGGGAAGAATATCGAGCAGCGTGATGTATGCTAAGCAGCAAGAGTTCGCCTCCCTTATTTCTCCCTTGTGCTCCATATTGCTTTCTAAAAATGCGTTCTTTCGGATATGCCCTCAATAAATTTTACTGTTTCTTTGTGGCAATTTGTCTCCGCGTTGCAAGTGGTTTCTTCTTGTCTTTACGTTTCAGTTTTTTTCTTTCTTCCTCTTCTTTATCTCCTTCTCTTCATCTGTCTCTTTCTTCTACTTCTGTTCTATTTCTCTCCTATTTTTATTTTTCACCTTTTTTCTGTCTATCCTGCACTTTCACCTTATTGTTTCTTTCTTGTAATCCTATTTCTCGTTTCAGTTCTCCTTTTCTTCCTTCCTCTTTTTGGAACTCGTATCATCGTTCCATTCAGCTAGGTTTAAATTTTCTTGTGACGGCTCGCTTCGCAGAAAGTATCTAGTTGATGGCCTTTTGTTTCAGTAAATATCCAATTATAGACCATCTGACTGATGAAGCCATGATTTAACTGAGCACTCGTTGACAATACGATTGCTTGCTTTCGTGTACTTTGAGCTCGGAAGATACGATCCGAAAATCGTGCTCGTGCATTCTTCTCCTTTGGCTATGTGCTTTCAGAAATGACGGAATCCATCAACGCGAGGGTGTAGCCTCTCCTCGTAGAACCTTGATTAAGCACTCGCGCGCGATGTTGTTTCCCTGACTCTGGCAACGACTCTGACCCTGTCGATAGCCGTAGCCGTTCCTCACCGTTGTTGACTCGAAGCATGAGGGTTTTCGAGTCTCGTCGCAAAGTTTTTCGAGGCGCAATAATTTATACTTTACAATCGAAAGACCGCTTGGGCGGACGACAGCCATGAACGACGAGTGACTACTTTTCCAGGTCTCGATTTCGAAATCTAATCATTCAATTTCAAACTTGGCCAGCGAACTCTGTCGACAGTTTTTCACCTTTCGCTCGATCTCGGTTGATCGACCACTGGATCTTTCGGCCGCACCATTCATCATCAAGCGATCTTCGTTTGTCATCGCGCCAAACTTTTATACACAAGTTTTTAAATGCCCATATGTTTATCGACCGACCAGGCAGCGCGCGGCGCACATGGATTAGTCGGCAGTAATACACGTTCATTTCCGCTAACCGCTGTTAGGCCGGTGCTGTGAACCATCAATGAACCATAAACTGATTCCCCGAATACCCCGATGGCCCGTCTGCATCATCGATCGTGTGCTGTTTGGCTGTAATAGCTGGCGCTTATTTCGTTATATGTGTTTTGAGCTACATTATGGTTTTTTTGGGTGTTTTCAATGTCTAACAGTCACCCAAAACATGTGCTGCAAATATTCCATCCAAAGGTGGCTTTTGCCCGAAGGAAAATAAAAATATGGGGTGTTTTTATTCACGACTCGCTCTCGGTTGTTCAGGGTGCTGAAAATAAGACGATATTACCGGAGAGGTGTTCAAAAATGACCGTTCAAAAATGTGTCGATATTTACTCTTCCATCTTTTCAATTTACTAATTTAAAAATTTCTGTTAAAACGACGATTGTGAAAATCTTTGAAGAAATGACGGCTGGACTGATATTCTTCCCGTTTAAATCTTATCCATTTACTTAACAAATTATGGTTTCAGGCGTAATGAATATTTTTTAGCATTGATCAGGCGCTTGGGATTCCGGAAAGAGAATCAACAGGGTGATCGGCAAGGTTTCGTTGGTGCTTATTTCCTCTTGATTTTATTCTCTCTCTGTTTTATTTTAGCTGTGAATGAGTGCCGTTATGTGATAGATGATACTTATCAAGTTAACGCATGTTTTCATCTCTCGTGTACCTTCAGACGACCGTGGCAGTTGTTGTGTGGATTAAATCTCCAATGTTCTCAGAATGTGGCAGCTAAACAGATGGCTGGTCGGCATCACTTATCAAATAACTTGGATGGGGAAGACGTCATTTAAATCATTTTTCCAATTCGTGCCTCGTTCGACTGGAGGAGGGGGGTTCAACGCAGTTGAGAAACTACCTGAAACTATTTTGCCGAATGACTTGCAAGCAACAAAGCGTCAGCAGTTTTTGAAATATTTAACACTTTTATTATAACTTGGTGTAGTCGAATCGCTGATTGAGGTCTTGGGTCTAATTTTTCACTCAAAATAAACTCTGTTCTCTTAATCGTTTCAGTTATCGTCATTACCGAACCGACATCTGACTGCTATTATGTGCAACATAGACATGAATAACGTGGGATCTCCCATTTTCAAGAGCTTGTCGTATAAGAAATACGGTATTCGGATCACGTTTGCTCCTGAAGGAGAGGAAAGACGCGTTTCGGTGCCTTTGCCTTGATATACTATACAATAACTGCTTCTTATA